CTTTTTAATGTAAAATCAGTTTTACACAAGGAGAATATGAGAAGACTTGCGAGGCAGGGGCCGTCTAGAGACACCCAGGGCGACCGTCGTACATTACAATCCGGGGCGGGCGCGTGTTGCTCTGTGTGTCCCTCTTGGGGTGAGAAGACCTCACTTTCTCTCGCCTTTATTACATTAACGTTCAATCTTGCATTCTACGTAAAACTGTCTGTTCTACCTGTGAACCCCCCTTTTATACGACGTAAAACTTATAGGCTACCAGGTGGTAATTGTGGAATCAGGGACAGAGCAGTTGCTTTTATGGATTTTATGGTAAGGGGGGGGCCAGGGGGGGTTTTTTTATCAAAAGCAATAGTTGGCGTTGATAAAGTGCGAGGCAAGCAGAGGGGAAGAGAATCAGTACATTTTTTCCAACAACTGTTGTAAAAAGCAGTATGCAAAAAGCAACTGGCTTTAATTGGTGAGATTATTTCCCTGTCCAAAGCGTATTTCACAAGGTTGTGATAATATAAATTCCCCTGGATATTACGTTTACGATGAAAAACCACAGAAATTATGTATTTATACACAGGCGGCCGCACAGTCCCTTGCAGTCGTTTTCACAGTCTTTTTTTTATTTTGCGGAGAGAGAAAAGGAGGGCGACGCCGGTTAGGGACGTGTTGGCCGCGCGCGCGCGCCGCCGCGCGCCGCGTTGCTTCGATAGATTCTAAACCGGTAGACTAATATTGCAATAAATCGCACGTATAGCACCTTTGAGCGATAGTCTTAGTTACGGGCTCGCACAAAAACCTGCGATATACCGAAAACAAATGTAATCGTTGTAGCGGATTGTGAGTTCGATTGGTCATGACGTCTCTCCCGTGTACACTGTCTTGCGTCCTTTATTTTTCTTTAGTGGAACACTGAGTTTTGTCATTCCTCCATTTCCGAAAACTCGAGGTATTTACAAAGTCTTATTAGGATCAAGTTGACTAAAACGTTTTGAGTTTTCGTCGACTAAAACTAGACTAAAACTACGAAGGATAGGAATGACTAAAATGTGTGAAAAACTAATAACTATTTTCGTCTAAAGACTAAGACTAAATCAAAAACAGCTGCCAAAGTTAACACTGCCCACACTATTTACCGTTACCTCATTTAGCCCTTTAACTGCCAGACCAAGAAAAAAGCTATGGAAAAATTATTTGTTTGCATTTTTTTATCAAATGGGCCACACATAACCACAAACAATTCAAAAAAATTGGACTGACCACACAGTTTTGTTTTTATGAGCCTCTACTAACTGGTCGAGTTGGCCTTTTATGGTAAAAGTGCATTTTCAACAATCATATACAGTACAGTATTTGTATGCATCAAACTCAAATAAAACACAAACTCAAATAAATGTGTTTCTTTTATGGAAAATGAGCAATATATACAACCAGATATATTCATAAAAGATAATAAATTATAATTGTAAAAAAAAATGGAAAAAAGTAATGTAAAGTGTTTTTCATAATAAAAAAAAACTTGCTCATCTTACTGTATATGCTGAATTGGCCTAACAGGAAACCACTGGCCTAACAGCAAATGTCTATATCCTGTGTTGGCCTAACTTGCTCATCTATGTGCAATTTTGGACTGAATGCCATGCATGAAAGGTGCTATATAAATTATTATCACTCTTTCACTCTGAGACTCATAAGGCAGTACTATATTTAGTAATATTACCATGAATCTAGCCATTATTTACCATATTTTATTGGAAAACATCTCTGAAACTCTGAAAAAGTCATATTGCTAGTTTACCATAAAAAGCCAATTTGACCGATTGGTTGAGCATACTTTCCAAAAATTAATTACACGCTTGTTAAAACTTTTTTTGTGCATCAAGTTATCTAAATATGTTCAGTCAGTGCTCTGACACTAAAATATGTCAAAAAGGATATTTGACCAAAGAGAGTGATTTCTTCAGCAGTGATTTTTAGCATTGCCAACTTTCTCAGTGGAAGCTAGCTGAATGGCTTTCTGTTCGAAACACAGTGACATCTAGAGGTTGTGTTGTGCATAACATGTCAACCAGAAGGTAGAGCTGGCTGAATCAGATGGAACTTTTTTTCATGCTTTCAATAAGATATCAAGACACAAAATGTGCTCTACCAAATGGTGGTGCTGGCAGTTAAAGGGTTAATTTAGACTGTGGCTAAGAACCTTTATTTACCTGAGCTCGATAGAGAAGCGGTTCAAAATCTGACGTTAATATTATACTCAAGACTTTCTTAAATTGCCATATATTTTGTGTGTGTTATTTTCTTGTTGCTGTTGTCTGTTGTTAATACAGACTGTTTTATTTAACATATAAATGTTTTATGCAGTTCTTATTTCAAATCCTGCAAACCCATCTTTAAAGTTTTGTCCTTTGCCTCAACTTTAGTGAATGTATTGAGGGCATTTTCTTTTCTGAACTGACTCTTAACCTCTTGAAGATCCTGTCTTTTGGAGAATGTAGAAGGCTCAGTTTTAAAGACATTGCTACCACATGAAACTAGCAGACTAATGAGTCCCTCGGTACCAACCATGTCCTATTGCAAAGGAAGCTAACAAGCTCCACAGTTAAGAAACTGGAATAGCCATACTCACAGGGTCACTTGGCCTTTTATCTCAAAATATATTTTTAGTGAGCTGTTCAAAAGTGGTGTTTTCGCCTATTCTAAAAAAAATCTGCATTAGCACGTTCCTAAACAGTCGTGGAACTGCATACATTGGGTACAACTGGAAGGCTTAATGTGAGATGATGTTAGTTTACCCAACATTTTATTGTATTGAGAAACATCTTGACCTCTGTGTAAATGGACAGCATTTATAGGAAGCTTGACAGTCTTTCAGCCCGTTAAAGTACTTTTACAGTCAGCATTCGCCCACTCTTATTTGGCTGGCAGTGGTGAGAAACTAACAAACACATGACAGATTGCCTTTAAGCAGCAGGTAATGATGTCGATGCCGCTACTGCACTTGCCATCTGCGCTTTGGAGGGCGATCAATGAAATCTCTACACACTTTTCAGGGATTAAAACTTGACCAGCAGGATCAGGACTGACCCTGTCTTCTTAGAACCCCATCGCACATTCACAAAAAACTTCATATGTTTTCAAAACAAAGGCAGCTTCAGAAAATGGCTTTCAATTTCTGCTCTGTCATCAGCTGTCTGCTGGATAAAGCCTGAAACGCAATGTCCAGTAAAGTAGTTACAATATAAAGCATTAGTTAATTGTGTGGCTGATAGCAAAATGTATTTTCTGACTGACAGTAGTAACACATTGTGATAATGCACGACAAATTGCCTATCCCTGCCAGGACAAAAAAGCCAGGCAGACTTTATATGCTTATCCTCAGTAAAGAATAGTCCTGAGAATGCACTGAAATGGGCTTGTTTTCAATAGAATGTCATGTATTCTTGGCAACTTTTCCTGAATTAGACAATTTCTTTTTATCCACAGTCACTTAAATGAAGGAACATTTTAGAATTGTGATGACATTATTGGAACTATGTATGCGGTATTACCAGTATATGTTTAAAATGGACACTTAGGCTCAATACTTTTTAATCAAGCTTGTAGTTAGGGCTGGCCCCTAGTTATGCTACTACTGTATATGCTTTGACTGTCAGAGAATATGTACCTTTCAACTTTCTAATGCTACTATTATTATTTGCATGAACTCATGTTCCCATTATCACTGTTGTCAATTTGATTATCTATATTGTAATTGTATTATCTTTTGTTAATCTATACACTCAACATCTATCGCACGTCTGTCAGTGTTGGGAGAGGGATCCCTTCTCTGTTGATCTCCAAGAGGTTTCTTCAATTTTTCCAAAGGCCAAAGGTGATTCATATGCTGTATGTAATTGTATGTCTATGTAATTTATGACATTGGGCTATATAAAAGATTGATTGATCGATCGACCTTTGTATGCTGTGACAAACATCACGACCAGGCTTTGCACCTAAAGTACAACCAGATTACAGAAAGTCTCTAAAAGCTGATTAGCAAGCAAAAATGCATTAAATCATTTGAATTTAATTTTGATTGTTATCGCAAAATTCATGTGTCTAATTCAACATCCTGCAACTGGAATTTGTTCTGTCATACACACTCACCTTGGTATCTGAGCAGCGCTGATCCGACCTGAGGCATCTGGCTGTGGAAGCGGATAGAGATCTGATTGCTGTGGCTTCTTATTACCAACCCCCTCATCAGGATGGACTCATTGGCCAGCATTGAGTTCTCACCCTGGCCCACATCTTCAAACACGACCTTGTCTCCCTCAGATAGATTCACGTTCATCACCTGAAAGGAAAGAAAAAAACAGATTAGACCATTTACACCTCAGATAAAGAAAAAATAACAAAAGCTCTCTATTCTGGGATATAGAATCTCTTTAGGCGACGCATGACACTGACATTGAACCCCTAAAATAGAAAAGGCCCAGCAGTAGCAGTTAGGAATTTTCAACCCACCACAGGAGTGCACAGGATAATCCAACTCTGCATAGCAAGAGGTCCAAGATGTATTGGGTCCCTGTTTGTTCCTATGAAAGTTGCTTGGCACAAGAAGCAAAAATGGCCTTACTTTCAAAAGCAAAACTACCTGGGGCCCATAGAGCATGTGCATCTATAGTTTCCTTAAACCCTCCCTCCAGTCCGCCTCGTCACGACAGCTTCGTGGTCAGTCTTGGCTCAGCTCAATAAATGAAGCAGGAAAATAACTCTGTAGTCGGCTTTTGGCACATTTTACAACTTTTAGGACCTAATATTTTGAATAAAGGCAATTTAAGAGTTCATTTACAGATGTTGCTTTCACAATGCAATCCAATTGGAAAACTTGTTTTTGGGCCAAATGACGTCACTGACATGAAAGTTATAGTACCACCATTTGGCCACTACTCATCCGTCAGCTGCTGTGCTGATCCTGGTACTGACCTCTGAGATGCACTCTCTGTAAATGCTTTGCGCTGAGTTCATTCGTTCAGAGTGGCTCCCATTATTGTTGCCACACCATGCACATTCATCAGCCGGTGAGAAATAAAGCAGAGCATTTTCCAATTTCAGATCAGATACCAACATTCTCTATCCTATGAAGATGGGCACAGGACTGCCAGCCTTCATGGATACATTTTACATTTGAAGCTTTGGGCACTTTGAGATAAAGGGGTTATTATTCGCACAGTTCCAGGGCTTATTTGCATTCACTTGCATTCATTTCCTATTGAAATAAAATAAAAGAATAGGCATCCGGTGAAGTCAAGAATGGTGACCTGAGTTACTTTGTAGTTGACCTCTCTAATTCCAATGTCAGTGGAAACTGGAGTGAAGAGAGCCACACACATTTTCAGCATGTATTACAGCCTCGAAAGTCTGTTTTGCATAACGCTTGGGCACAAATCAAAAGTAAGAAATATGGAAGAAGCCAAAAGGACAACGTGTTTCACTGCAGATAGGCCTGATAATTGTCAGCTTGTCTCCTTTGCTGACAAGACGTCTGGTGAGAAATGTCGCTTTTATCAGCTTTTATCACAGCAGGTACTTCTTTATTCAGGCATTAAAAGGAAGGGGGAGTCTTGTCTTCACGTGGCCCTCCATAGATCATATCAACTGCCTGCTGTCTCACATAGCTGGGGGATGAATCCTCGGCTCTCCTGAGGAAAGCAGCAGAGAGAGTCTGAAGTGAAGTGAATCCACTGACAGAACACAAGTGTCAGTTAACAGTGTGTTCATGGTGTGTAAACATCCAAACCAAACAGACTAATGTACAAACTGTGGTTTAAATGTAACATACTTAAACCTGTATTTTTTATGATAAACAGTATTCCAGACAGTCACAACATGTCGTACAAAACTATAAGTGCAGGGATAAAAAACCATATACAAGTCCCAATGCAAGCATGTTGTTTCTCATGCGAGGCGTGGGAAGGTATTTTGAGCGGGGGTGCTGAGGTGCTGGACTCCAGTGAACACTATTACGGGCACTATAGAGCACGCACAAAAGCACTCCCCACACGCAAATACACAGCACACCCGCGACTGTTACAATGAAGGCTCGATAATCAGCTCACGGCATACTGTATAGGCAGGGGTAAAGTGCTATTTTTTACGAGTGGGGAGTGGACCTCACCTCCTCTAGGGGGGTCCGGGGGGATGCTCCCCCGGGGGGAGCATCCCCCCGGACCCCCCTAGAGGAGGTGAGGTCCACTCCCCACTCGTAAAAAATAGCACTTTACCCCTGCCTATACAGTATGCCGTGAGCTNAGGTTCCAGTAGATCTCTACTATCCAATAAAACTGAAATTCTCAGAAAAATCATATTAAAAAAGTTAAAAACAATTACTTGCTTTTGGCATTGAAATGGATTAGAATCTCACCTTTTTGCTGGATGTCAGGCAGGCCAGGAAGTCATTCCCTTCAAGTCCGCAACCAGTCATAGGAGTTCAAATGCAAAGCCTGAACGATGACAGGAGCGGGAGATTTACATTTTACAATTATATTTTTAATTAAGACCAGAGCAGTGCGTACATATGCCCTGTACGACATGCAGAGAACAGATCAAATCCCCATAGTTAACTTTAGTCTAAGTTATCTCAGTGGGTCTCAAATGGTTTGGTCACAAATTATTCAAAAGATTATTTCCGCGGCACACCTTCATATGGTCATTATCGTTATAAAAAAAATAAGAGAATAAAGGAAAAACAGTTATGAAATACTATATGGCAGTAAAACAAGAATACAGTTTGAAAGGGGAGTGATTTGTAAAATATCCATAAAGAAAAAGAACATCTGCTTACAGTTGTGTTTCATCTGGGTGTTGAGAGATGTATCCATAGATCTCTTAATGTTGCTCTCAAAGTGCACCAGATTGATGCTTTTAACTTCAATATTTAAAAAAAATCTTCCCTTCCCGGGGGAGGATCCCCCCGGACCCCCCTAGAGGAGGTGAGGTCCGCTCCCCACTCCTAAAAAATAGCACTTTACCCCTGCCTATATGCCGTGAGCTGATTATCGAGCCTTCATTGTAACAGTCGCGGGTTTACTGTGTGTTTGCGTGTGGGGAGTTTTTTTGTGCGTGCTCTATAGTGCCCGTAATAGTGTTCACTGGAGTCCAGCACCTCAGCACCCCCGCTCAAAATACCTTCCCGCGCCTCTGCCGCAGGTCCTTCCTTCCTGCAGCGGTCAGACTATACAACCAGCCCAGCCCCTAGTAGACCCCGCACAAAACAACACAGACT